CTCCGCTGATTCAGCTGCTCTCACTATTTCTTTCGTTCTTCAACATCTAAATTTTTTCTATCACTTGTTTTCACTATATCTTCGTTCTATTCATTCACCTAATTGTTTTGAAGCATATACACATATAAATGCGCTTCTCTTTCTAAGCTTGTTTACAGAAATAATAATATCGATCGATTTTTTTCATTTCTTCACATTTTCCCCGTCCGCTTCTTTTTACATTGTATACGTGAACGTATGCTGTTACTTTCACTTGACTATTTATTTTCTTGAACTTAACTTGAAATTTTGTAATACTTATGTATGTGCTCAGGAATAAAAGATAATATCCTAATGATAAAAATGTTAGTTTCAAAACATACTAAAAAAAGAACCAATTAAAAAAAAACTAATGAATTTTTTTGCAAATATTATACTGATTAAAGTTACATTAACCCGCGGGCAGCCCGTGACGGGTTGATAATTCTTCAACCCGTAGACTAACCCGCGAGTCAAAAAAAAATCGTTCAACCCGTCAAGCGGGTCGGGTTGGACCCTCAACGGGTCGGGTTTGCGGGTCGGGTCAAAAAAAAGTCAGTCACCAACATCTCTGACCCACACCTACACTCAGACGCTCAAAATTTGGAGATGAAAAATCTGTAGTTTAGACCGATATTAACTTCTAATATCTGACTAATTTTTCATCAGTATTAAAAGAATTCATTCAACATGTTTCGTCGCTCTCATCCTAGAATGGAAAGTGTTAGTCAATCTTTAGAGCTTGGATTTTGACAATGATTGAAAATTTATCAGTTGGAATCTTCCACGCTCATATACCTTGATCATTGAAATCACGAAAACCACTAAAAATGAGCAAAATGGGCAAGTTTTAGTGTCTCAAAAACTTTTTAAAAATGAAACAACCCAGTGAAAACCGATCGATTTGATTCCAAGTATGAGGACGGTGCCACATGACTAGAAAAGAAACTAGATATTTCACCTGTCTTTTGCACACTGGTTATGAAAAAGAACAATTTATAGTTAATTCTTTTTTTGAAAAAAGATCAGTCTTTTGTTTTGTTATCAATTCTGATATTTCAAGCCAAAGCTAAAAAAGGTCAGTTTTGATAGTATAAGAAGAAGAAACACAAGTTGATTACTTGTTTTTTATTTTGATAATGTTTGATCGTCTGAGACGT